TAATAAAATTATGACCAAAACCCCAAAACCCCAAAACCCCAAAACCCCATCAGAAGTATTTGCATTGACTGATTGAAATGTATAATAGTTATATATTAATAAAAAATGTTATCAAAGTAATTAAGAGTAAGGAATAGCCTTTCCAATTGATATTTATTCTAGAACTTGGCTATTAAATCCTCTGGCAATTCATTCTTTATGGGTCTAAGAAGTTCCCAAATGATGACTAATTAGCAAGTCCAAAATTTTTCAAGCTTTAATAGCACTTTCCATGTAAATAAATAGATATTTATCAATTTTAGGCAAAAGATTTGAAAATAGAGCAAAGACAACCTAAACTACAAAAGCCCAATACTCAGAATGGAGATCCATATGCATTTGGCAGAGTATTCACTGACCATATGATCCAAATAGATTACAATGCAGAAAATGGATGGGATGCCCCAAAGATTGTACCCTATGGTTCCTTCCCAATGGCGATCACTGCTTCATCATTGCATTATGGCATTTCAGCTTATGAAGGTATCACTGTTGTTAAGAATAAAGATACTAACGCTCCATAAGCATTTAGAGTGAGAGATAATTTGAATAGCTTCAAACTATCGAATGAGCATTTGGACTTACCAACTTTTGATACTGAAGAGCTACTTAAATGCATTTAAGGCTTAGTCAAAGTTGATCAGGATTGGTTCCCAAACATTAAAGATCTCAATTCTCAACTATACGTGAGATTAAATCACGTATCAACAGACCCAACTCTAGGTGTAAAATCCCCCAGATTTACTAAGCTTTATGCCATCCTAAACCCAAATACCTTTAAAAAGAAATCGCTTAAGATTAAATGCTCTTAAGATGCCTCAAAGAGCTGGCCATTAGGACATGGACAATATAGACTAAGTGGAAACCTTGGACCCCTACTCCCTCAATTAGTTGATGCTAGAAACAATGGATTTGATGATGTGCTCTGGCTTCTTGATGACTACGTGCATGAGATGACTGTATTGAATGTATTTGCATATATGAAGAACAGATTCGGAGACTATGAACTTATTACTCCAGCTAATGATGGTTGCATTTTCAATGGTACTATCAGACAGTCGATTCTTGAAATGGCGGATGAAATTCAAAAAGAAAAGAAGGTCAAGGTAGTAGAGAGATCGCTTTCCATTCATGAAATCATCAACGCATACAAAGAGGAAAGATTGATTGAATTCTTTGGAGGAGCCACGTCCAGCAATATTCAATCTATCTCAAGACTGCAATTCAGAGATCAGACAATTGATCTCAGTGGAAGACCAACTCCTCTCGCTGATCATCTCAACAACAAGTTATTATCAATAATGACTGGCCCATCAGATCACAAATGGGTGACTCCTCTCTTATGATGAGAACGTGAATTAGATCCTATCTATATAGGTTGATGAGTTTGCCTGTCGTTTCCTTTCTATTAGATTCAATCTATCTTCGATGTTTGATATTAAAAATAACTTGATTAAATGTAGAAATAGAAATAATACTATACTTATAATACTTAAATTAAAAACATTAATTTGTGGATGGCTTCCAAGGCAAAGACAACTCAAAAGTATGTTTGCGAACTAGAGAGAAAACACAGACGTCGAGTAGATGAAATTCAATCTTCTGGTAATATATACATTCTTAAACATTCAGATTCTGAGGAGTATGAAGATGTCAGATAAGCTTAGAGAAATGGAAAAGGGCCAGCTAACCAGGGAAACTCAAGCCAAGGCAATTACTTGCAGAAATAAAGAGATCAGTTGTAGCATCAGCATACTAGTTAGACTAATGACAGGCGTGATTAAAAGCAGAACAATAAATATGAGAAGAAGTAAAACGGCAGGCACCAGAATTCCAACTATGACGAGGACTCTCAGCACAATTACTATGATGATCATCACAGCAGCAGCCATCATCATGACAGTAGATATAGCAGTAGTAGTAATCACTAGCACAATGTTAGACAGCCACAGTATAAGCAGAAATACGCTCCTAAATAGTAAAATAAACAAGACAATGGGCACCATGAAAATACTTAAGCACACTATCAGAAAAAAGAGTAGCATCAATAAAAAGATAAAGATTATTAAGACAATCATCATTATGATAAACTCGAGAAAAAAGAAGAAAAGCACTAGTATAAACAGAAATAAGAGCAAAAGCAGCCGAGTATGCCTCAGTTTTAAATCCTGAAAAGAGAAAATAAGCCAGTTGAAATACAAAGTCAATAGGAGGAGTAAAAATCATAAAGATAGACTTAGTAATAACAGCAATTGGTGACATCTTAGGCTAATTCCTCACATTAGCATTCACAATCTCATTCCTAATCAAGCTAAAGTAATATATCATAGACCAACCATAACAGCTAAAAAGATAATGCCAAATAGCATGCATAAGATCAATTTAACAATCAAAATTAAAAGTATCAAAAGAAATAGCAGCATACTGAGTATGAGAGATAAGTAATCTAGCAAGATAAGAATTACCATAAAGACAGTATTCATTAGCATCAGAAATCGCAAGATTATCAATAAAACAGCAATAAATACTCAAATGATCAGGAAGGGGGTAATCATAGGCAAGTTTACCAAAAGAAGCAGGACAATAAGCAGTAATAATATCAATAACAAAATAATAAAAAAGAGGAATAAGTTGAGAATTGGAGAGCTAAGTCTAATGCGAGCGGTAACCAGTAATAGAATAAGGAATAAAACGAAGCAAGATAAGTCACTTATTTTAAGAAACAGGATAACAAGGAGTAAACATAAAATGAGAAACCAGCTCTTTCGACTTAGGCCTAGGAATTCAAACCTAAAGATAATACATCTAAGGGTTAAGAGAACCCCGTGACAATGACAACATCTACTTCTTAATCATTTAATGTTTAGTCTTCATCATTTGTTCCAAAGAAATAAAGTGCAGTAAATACTGGCTAGACCTTTAAAGTTGATGCTTAAGAATATGTGCCTCCGAGTAAATAAATTCAAAGCTCCTTAATATAGGCCAAAGATACAGCTTAGGAATTTGTTCCTAAATCAAAATAGTAAAATTAGTAGCCATAGCCCACAGCCTAATTAAATACAACTGCATAAGAATTCAAACCAAGACAAAAACAAGCTGAATGATTTCAAGATGTATGATCGATAGGTTAATAATTTAATTAGAAAGTTTTCCTATAATATAAGAAGAAGATGTATATTTAAATCTTTGTTAACTAAGTATACATATAATGAGACAAAGAATTGTTCTTTTGCACTGATTACTCTAATATTTGCATTTATTATCCATTGAGTATCTACTCAATGTTCTATCTCCGTTGCCTGTCATAGATTAGAACCCTCAGCCCAGTCGTCATCATCCTCATATTCTTCATCTATCTGCTAGATTCTTACTTAAAGAGAATGGGCTTAGGCTCTAGCACCTCCTGTCCCTCTTTCTTATTCGCTTGAATCTTCACTGTCTTCCATATCTTCGTCCTCGTCATCTTCATCATCATCGTCGTCTTCATCTTCCTCTTCCAGCATATCTCCATTATATTGCTGTCTTTGTGAACTTTCGCCATTTAACGCGTTACTGCCATCAATCTTTTTTATATCTTTATTGTCTATCACTACATCTGCTAATTTCATTTCTTCAAGCCCCCAAATTCGAATAGTCTAATCATCGCTGCAGCTAGCGAGAATAAATTGATCACTTGGACACCAGTTCACATAGTTCACTACTTGATTGTGATAGCCCAAGTCTTATTCTCCAGTTTTCTCATTGTTTTAGAGACTTTAAATTTAGTCTAGCTTTCTTTTTCTACTATTTTTATGCCCTTTGGACTTAGATTTGTCTGTAAGGCTTGTAGTTTGACTTTAACCGAGAACTATTACTAGATCTCCTTTTTCCTTGGACCATACATAGACGCATCCATCATCAGAACCACAAATAACGAAACTCTCATTAACCCCTCCAAAATCGCATTTCAATAAATAAAGATTTTACTTATGTCCTTTGAATCTTCTAACTATTTCTCTTCTGTTCAAATCGTACATTTCTATTCTAGGGCTGTCAAATGAAATATTTGCTAACAGATATCTTCCATCTTTGCTCAAGGCTACTCTAAATACTTTATCTGCTGTTTCGATTTCATATTACTAGTCATTGTCCTCAAAGGTCTCTTAAAGGCAGTCATCTCCGTCAACAATGTTGAAAATGTGTAAATGGTTCTATCCTTTTGCAACAAGTCTGCTACTAGAAATTGCTAAATCTAAATAGCATCTTGTCTCTATCCTTGTCAACTCATAGCCTTAGTAGCCAAGACTATTGCTAGCAGATACATTTGAAAGTCCTGACTCCCCTCCTTATTATCTGATTTCCCACAAGATCAAAAGTCTGTCAGTACTAGCTGTAATTACTTTTGAATCATCACTTGAAAATATGGCACAAGTAACGCCTTCTGTATGCTTGTTACTTAGTTCGCAAACCAATTTACCTGATCTAGAATCCCATATTTTGGCAGTCATATCATGAGATGATGTCACCAGCCATCTATCATCAGTATTAGTCCAATTTAAAGAATTGATTTATTTCTGATGAGCCCTAATTTCATGGGTGCATTTAATCCTATATTTATAGGGAGACTTTAAGAACTAAGAACTCTTTGAATTTGATTTTGACTCAAATCTTTGATCGAAAAGCTAAGTGAATCCCCACAAATATACAAAATTATCTTTCCCATATGAGGCCATTCTTTTCCCTGACTGAGAAAATTGCACTGCCCATACTTCATCTTTATGCTTCTTCAAAACTGCAATGCACTTAGAGGGTAGTATCTGCTTAGAGCACATATGGTCTTCTAACAATGAATATTGATTTTGATAAACGTTGTGAAACTTGCACTTGCTAACTTATTAGGCAATGGCTTGTTTGAAAAGATGCTCTAATCTGTGTGGCTACATCATTACAAAAGATGGCATTAATTTTTGAATCTTATTTAGTAAAGCTTGCCTGCCATCTTCCTCACTTCCTAGCCAGAGTGCCTTTTGTCTCAATTCATTCTTATAGTTCCCGTACTTAAGAATGTCTATTTCGTGATCACAGGTAATTAATTGTGCTAATTAGTGAAGTTTAGCTCGATCATTAGTCCTTGGCATCAGTTCTCGCTAGAGAATCTAAATTGCTTCCATTTTCAACCCCTTTTCCATTAATTCCAAGTAGTACTACTCATATAGATAATATTCAATTTCTTTTTGCTTTTCATTTGAAAGATTCAATGATTCTATGGGATTCATGTACTGATCTCCCTTTAATGGAAAATACTCGCCTGATAAAATTTTTTATCTGAAGGTATTAACTTGCTGATCTTCCATTTGTACCTTTGATTTTTCAGATAAGATTTGAGCCACCTCCCTAATGAAGAGTTAACACAATGAGATATGAGAGATTCTTACTGATAGCCATGATTATTTAGATACTATTGAATGAGTCTTATTATTTCCTTATCGTTATTCTCATTCACTAAGGTAAAATTTAAGACATGGTTCAATAAAATTAATGAATTGTTGACTTATATGATCAAGGGTATGCTTTACTTACAGGTTATACTACTTTAATCAATTTCCATTTGTTAATTGAAGTCATCGCTTTCATTACTTATGAAGCCATTTAGGTTTTTGAGTGAATTTACTCCATTCTGACTTTAGTTAGATGATTGCATTGTGCGCTCGTTCTCCTTTGCTATCTTAATTCTATTTTAAAATTTGATTTAATTTTAATAATTCAAATAGATTAACATACTCATACATAATTCACAACATAATTGAATGTCTGATTGGGGTTTTGGGGTTTTGGGG